TCTGTGGTGAGAAATCAGAGTTAATGTTTCAAATCCAGTGATCTCTCTTCAGAACACTGGACCTGAAACATTAACTCTGATTTTTCTCCACAGATGTTGCCAGACTTACTGAGTTTTTCCAGCAATATCTGTTTTGTTTCTGATTTGCAGCACCTGCAGTTCTTTTGGTTTTTTGGATGGAATTTGACATTCCCTGCAGTTGCAAAACCAAAGGCATTACCTATTCATGCAGAACACTACTTACATACATTTTGATGCAAACAGAGGATCTGAAAACTGAATGGACAGTCGTCGTACTTTGGCAGAAAAACACTGTACGGTGGTCTGTGCCTTGGTGGCAGCTAGCCTGAGCTTTAATGTGTCCATAAGTGTGTGGTTCTGGGCCTTGGAATGTGCCAGTCTTTAACAGTTGGTTGGGGTCTTTTATATACAGTGGAAAACCAAAAGGTTTTGGGGCAAACCAAAGAGTGTCTTTCACCGTGTTGATTTTTTTAAATTGCAAAATATACTTTATTCATAGAAAAAATCTTTACCTACATTCACAGGCTTTTTGGAGCACTGCTCCCTCTCCATTGCGGATAAAAACCTGGTCATCAGGTGTGAGGCACTCTGTCTGTTGCTGTACATGGCACTGGTTGGTTCCAATCCCTGAACCTGTGCCATTACAGTCACCCGAGCAATCTTTCACCTCATCTGGAGGTCTGAGATGGACCACATCCACAGGGACACCATGTACAAAGCTCTGGATAAAGTAGGGGAAGAATGTACCCAACACCACCCTCATCCAGTATGCAAACACCAAGTGTTAATACGTACTGAGCTTCAATCTGTCCCTGGTGTCGTGAAGGATGGGACTAACCTCATTGTCGTGGAACACTGCAAGTAGTTGGACTGTTCCATATCATCTGTCCTTCATGGAGAAATTTGCAAAAGAAACACCTTTGACCACAAGTCCATCAGGATGTGATCAGCACCTGGCATCCTCAAGACCCTGTGGGTAAAGGAGAGGGTGGATTCTGTCAGATTGTTATCTGAGCAGACTGTCAAAGTCATTTGGCAGAACACCTCATCATCAGAACTTTCCAACAAGCATCAAGACATTGTTTTGGTGGTGAGAAGGGCACTACCTGTGAGATCCTTCATGTATGCCTGGTCAGTCTGTGCCACGGCACACTGCCCTCGAAATGGCTGCGAGAGAGTTGACACTGTTATGTATTTCCCGCTGGAATGTGCTTTTGCAAAGGAAGTCTGAAGAAAGATGCAGTGGTTTTTGTTGAGGTTTGTCCCGAACAGGACTCTGTGCTCTATTGTCTGTTCTTTGGGAGGCAGACTGAGACAGATATCAAGTGCGCCTGAAAAACCATCAACTCAGTAAAAGACGCTCTTTGGTCTGCCTGAAACTTGCTGGTTTTCCAGAGCAAGGAGTTGACCCCAACTGTGTGTTATAGACTGGTACATTCCAAGGTTCAGGATTACATGCTGAGCCACGCACTGAAGCTTGGGGCAGCTGCTGCCAAGGCACAATGGGGAAAGACCACCATCTATGACGTTTCTGCCAAAGTTAAATGGAGGCCTAAAGTAGTTCTGTACAGTCTTTACATATCTTCTTTTGTCTTTTAAAAATATACTTTATTCATAAAAATCTTTATATACATATGTAGTTCCTGGAGCAGTTCGATTTTGTACAATCTCAGCATATTGAGAACAACCAAACGTTGGAGGTTTGACTCTCCTGACAGTTTAAAAAAGCCCAAAGGCATTTGTTACTTGTGCAAATACAATTTACATATGTTTGATGCACCAGGAGCGTCCCATAACTGAATGGATCCACATTTTACTTTACATTTTTTTGTTTCAAATATAATATTCAGAAAATATCTTTATACACATTTATAGTCACTGAAGCATTTTGGTTCTGCACAGTAACATATGAAGAAACAGAGTGTTTTGCATCAGGGTTTACTGTGGCGAAGGATATGGAAGGTAGGGAACTTGGGGAAATAAAACGCGACATCTTGAAAAATGTCCATATTACAGAGGAGAAAGTGCTGGATGTCTTAAAATGCATAAAGGTAGATAAATCCCTGGGATCTGATCAAGTAAACTCAAGAACTCGTGGGAAACTAGGGAAGTGTTTGCTGGGCCTAAGCTGAGATATTTGTATCATCGATAGCCACAGGTGAGGTGCCAGAAGGCTGGAGGTTGGCTAACATGGTGCCACCATTTAAGAAAGGTGATAAGGAAAAGCCAGGGAACTATAAAGCCGTGACACTGACATCAGTGGTGGGCAAGTTGTTGGAAGGGATTATGAGGACAGGATTTCCACGTACTTGGAAAGGCAAGGACTGCTTAGGGATAGTCAAATGGCTTTGTGTATGGGAAATCATGTCTCACGAACTGGATTGAGTTTTTTGAAGAAGTAACAAAGAGGATTGATGAATGCAGAGCGGACTTTGGTAAGGTGTTCAACAAGGTTGCTCATGGTAGGCTGGTTGGCAAGGTTAGATCACATTGAATACAGGAAGAACTAGCCTTTCGGATACAGAAGCAGCTTGAAGGTAGGAGACAGAGGGTGGTGGTGGAAGGTTGCTTTTCAGATTGGACGCCTGTGACCAGCTGTGTGCCACAAGGATCAGTGACGTTTCCACTGCTTTTCGTCATTTATATAAATGATTTGAATGTGGACATAGGAGGTTTGGTTTGTAAATTTGCAGATGACACCAAAATTTAGTGTAGCCAACAGTGAAGAAGATTATGCCAGAGTACAAAGGGCCTTGATAAGATGAGCCAATGGGCCAAGGAGTGGCAGATTGAGTTTAATTGAGATAAATGTAAGCTGCTGCATTTTGGAAAGGCAAATCAGGGCAGAACATAATGATAAAGCCGTGGGGAGTGTTGCTGAACAAAGAGACCTTGGAGTGCAGGTTCATTGTTCCTTGAAAATAAAGTCACAGGTAGACAGGATAATGAAGAAGGCATCTGGTATGCTTCCCTTTATTAGTCAATGCATTGAGTATAGGAGCTGGGTGGACATGCTGCAGCTATACAGGATGTTGGTTAGGCCACTTTTGGAATACTGCATTCAGTTCTGGTCTTCCTGTTATAGGAAGGATGTTGTGAAACTTGAACAGGTTCAGAAAAGATTTCTTAGGATGTTGCCACGGTTGGAGTGTTTGAACTATAGAGATTTGCTGAATAGATTGGGGCTATTTTCCCTGGAGCGTTGGAGGCTGAGGGGTGACCTTATAGAGTTTTAAAAATCATGTGTGGCATGGATTGGGTGAATAGACAAGGTCTTTTCCCTGGGATGGGGGTCCAAAACTAGAGGGCATAGGTTTAAAGTGAGAGCAGAAAGATTTAAAAAGGACCTAAGGGGCAACTTTCTCACAGAGGGTGGTGCGTGTGTGGAACGAGCTGTGAGAAGAAGTGGTGGGGGCTGGTACAATTACAGCATTTAAAAGGCATCTAGATGGCTATATGAATAGGAAGGGTTCAGAAGGATATGCCAACAAATGGGACTAGATTAATTTAGGACATCTGGTCAGCATAGATAAGTTGGACTGAAGGGTCTATTTCCATGCTGTACAGCTCTATGTCTCTATGACCCACCCAGCTACTCTATCCCTGTGACCCTGAATTTCCCATGGCTAGTCTACTTAGACACTATGCGCAATTTAGCATAGCCAATCCACCTAGCCTGCACATCTTTGGACTGTGGGTGGAAACCAGAGCACCCAGAGGAAACCTATGCAGACACAGGGAGAAAATGCAAATTCCATACAGACAGTCGCCGAAGGGTGGAATCGAACCCTGGTCCCTGGTGCTGTGAAACAGCAGTACTAACCACTGGACATGGCAAAAGGCTCTCTACAACACATAAACAAGGCAGGAGAGAACGGGCAGCCCTGCCTGACTCCAGATCTGATTGGAAAGCTTTCTGATTCCCACCGATTGTTTGAGACTGCAGTATTGATGTTGGTGTAGAGCTGTTACATCCAATTGCGGATTTTCTCCCCAAAGCAGAGAACATCCCACATCCTGTCAAAGTCCTTTTCCTGGTCCGGGCTGATGAGGCAGGAGCCCTGTTCTGCTTGTAGGTGATCGTATGCCTGAGGAGCACAAGGCTGTCAGAAATTGTCCTGCCCAGTACAGCACAGGCTTTGTCTGGGTGAATCACTGATCCCAGAGTCATCCTGACACGATTGGTCGCCAATTTCTAATTTCCTCCCATTCTCCCTTCCACTTTGAGATGAGGGTGATGACACCTTCCCCGTGGATTCTCACATGCTGCCTGACAGAAACTTACTGTTGTATGCTATCTTGTTTTTATTTCAAAAATATTCATAAAAGTAGTTCGGTTCTGCACAGTTGCATATCAAACAAGCAAACAAAATATTTTCTGAAGAAGGGTCCTGACCCGAAATGTCAACTTTCCTGTTCCTCTGATGCTGCCTGGCCTGCTGTGTTCCTCCAGCTCCACATTGTGTTGCCTCTGACTCCAGCATCTGCAGTTCTTGCAATCTCCAAACAAAATATTAAACTTTGACTCTATCCCTAAACAACCTCTCTTACACAAAACTAGTATCTAAATCTATTTGAGGTGCTAGGAGGGTCCAACAACTGAACTACCCCATTCACCTTCAGCAGAAAGACTTCAGGCAGTGGTCTTTTCCCCTATTACACCTTGGTGGCAGCTGCCCCTATCCTCTACATGCAATCAGGGCTTGTCTTAGCTTTGCTCTTTAGTTTTTAAAATTATTGTTTTTCCTTTGGAAAGAATCTATCCCAGTTGCATCATGGTGCTTGGTTTGAGTTGGGAAAACTCAGTTTGGAGGCCAATATTTCAAGGAGTTGGTCATTGCAATCATCTGCTGTTGTCTTCCATTTCCAATGTCAGAGAGCCGCTCAGGCATGTAAATAAAATATAAGCGAGAAGTTCCCGATATGTTAATAAGATGATCACGTGTGCCTGCCTTGCTCCTGCCGTAAAGGCTTCTGGGACAAACTCCTGGTTGCAAGATGGCGGCGGCGGCGGCAGCGTCGGTGGCCGCTCCTGGCGCTGGTACAGCTGCTGCACCGAGTGGGGTGAGCTCGGGGGGCCCAACCCTCACCGGGACCCTTAACAAGAAAAAGAAGCCGTTCCTGGGCATGCCTGCGCCTCTCGGTTATGTGCCGGGTTTGGGCAGAGGGTGAGTTTAGTTCTGCAGCTTCTGCTTTCCCTCCGTGGTGCTGCCTGTAAGTAAACACGCCAACCGCAACGCACCAAGGTGCCTAATTTAAGGATTGAGGCTGATCGCCGTAACTGTTCACACAGGCCCTGAAACAGTACCTTAGAGTCTATTTTGTTTCTTATAAATACTAGTTCAATACTGCTACCATTTTAATTTTATAGAAACATAGAAGATAGGAGCAGGAGGAGGCCCTTCGAGCCTGCTTTGCCATCCTTCACGATCGTGGATGATCGTCCAACGCAATAGCCTAATCCTGCTTTCTCCCCATCAACTTTGATCCAATTCGCCCCAAGTGCTATATCCAGCCAAATAAAAACCGAAAGAACTGCGGATGCTGTAAATGAGGAACAAAAACTGGATGAAATGCTGGGAAAGATAACAGTGTGGAGCTGGAGGAACACAGCAGGCCAGGCAGCATCAGCGGAGCAGGAAAGCAGGAAAGCAGGAAACGTCAGCTCCACACTGTGTTATCTGTGACTCCAGCATTGGCAGTTCTTACTATCTCGGAGTTGCTGGAAAAGCTTTGCAGATCTGGCAGCATCTATGGAGAAGAAAATGAGAGTTCACGTTTCAGGTCTGGTGACCCTTCTGAGTTCAACTCCACCAGACCCGAAACATTAACTCTGATTTTTTTTCTTCACAGATGCTGCCAGACCTGCTGAGCTTTTCCAACAACTTCTGTTTTTGTTTGGGATAACAAGGTGTAGAGCTGGATGAGCACAGCAGGCCAAGCAGCATCAGAGGAGCAGGAAAGCTGATGTTTCGGGCCTAGACCCTTCTTCAGAAAACATTTCTGAAGAAGGG